TAGCAGTAGACTGAAATTCAAAATTGGCACCGCAACGCTCATGTAAGTTATATATAGTCAGGATTGTCATTTAACTTTCTATCAATAATGTTTCTTCTTAAGTGAAGTGTTGTTGATTGCTTTTCATCTGTCTCTTAACCCTAAGTTAATGGGTGGGAAGAAGCGAAGACATTTTTCCTTAAAAAGAAATGAAGCTCGCTTAAGGAATGAAGTTCCTTTTTCTATTATGAACATTCACAATTTTATTATTATTATTATAATACTTCATGAATTCAGAAATGAAGTTTATGAAGATACAAAGATTTATAATGCAGAAATGAAGAAATTGTAATTGTGTGAGAGCAAATGTTATTATGATGTGAGAGTGGTGCCTTAAGCACTAGTTATCTTATATGTTTTATTGAGTTTTATATGTTTCACATATTTTTGAGCCTTTTATCATTCATATGAAAATATGCGCTATTAACTGTATTTCTATTTATATTTGATTTACTATTCTCTTATGCTTACATTGTCACAATGTCTTTCATTAACATCGACACTTTTGATTATTTGTTTAACAAAAATTAAAAATAAAACAATAACAATATCACACCTTTATCCCACTATGTGGGGTTGGCTACATGAATCCTTTTCTCCTTTGTGTCTTATTAAAAGTTAAATTCACATTTAAATCTATTAAAGAAAGATCATTTTGAATATATTCTAACAAAGTCATTCAGGTCTACATCTACCTTTCTCAACAAAAGTCAAATCTAATATCTTTACCTTTCTTAACATCAGAAGGCCACCATTTTATGTGACCAAACCATGTAATATGACTCTCTCTAATCTTATCTTCCACTTGAGCTACTCTAATATTTTGATGTATATGATCATTTGTAGCTAATCTTTAAGGGTAAAGCTCACCACCATGTTATAGAATTCTCTCTTAAGTTTTAGGGGTACTTTTCTATCACACAATAAGCCCGATGCATTCCTCCACTTCAACCTTCCAAATTGAATTATGTTGATAATATCCACATCTATTTCACCATCACTCTAAACAAGAGGTCCAAGATATCTAAAACGTGTACTCTTATTAATGACATAATCACCCAAAGTTATAATCCCCTCACTAGGTCTATTACTACTAAAATTACACTCCATATTTTTCAGCTTTAGATCAACTCAAGAAAAAACCTTTAAACTCTAAGGTTGACCTCCATAATTCAACTTTACCTTCAACTCCCTCTTTAGTCTTATCAACAAGAAGAATATCATAAGTAAAAAAAGCATACACCAAGGTACATCTTCTTCCAAATGTCTAGCTAGAGCATCCATGATTAAAGCAAAAATATATTTCTCCATCAAACCTCTCAATAAATGTATGGATTCCATTGTAGGCCTACCTGGCATGAATCCAAATTGATTTTGAGAAACATTAGTATCACGCCGTAAACTACGCTTCATAACTCGCTCCCATAGTTTTAAAGTATGATAAATTAACTTAATTCCTCTATAATTCGCACAATCTTGTGCATCACCTTTATTCTTAAAAATATGAAACTAAATTAAAAAATAAGAATGATAATTAAAAATTAGAATAATAATAATAAAATCCTATATTATAGTTTAAATGAACACTGCATTATAATTCATAGATTGGAAAACTTAATAATTAATTATCTCACATCATTTACATTATTGACTTAACTTAAATTTATAAGTTATATGTTTGTATATTGACCTCTGAATTGGAAAATGAATAATTAAAATTAAAGAAAAGATATGCATAGCTTAAAATTAGAAATCATAGTTACTTGAAATTGGAACTAGGGATCTTATTAAATTTTTACTATAAAATAATTAAGATTGCAAGAGGACATAAGAAAAAGTTGATATTCAATATCATTAATTATGTACTCACAAAAATGAAAAGAAATTAAACATGAAAAGGGTTCTAAAAAAAAGAGAAGAAGAAAAGTACATTAAAAAATTGGTATCAATTAAAGGCTTAAATTCCAAATGCAATCTTATACTTAAACTTACAAGGGATAAGATAAGAGAACTAGTACATGTGATGTTGAACTAACGAAATTTTAATTTTAACTACAAACACATCTAATCTTTATGCTACATTATTCATTTCAAAATTCAGAAGTCAATGATTATATTCATAACATATAAATTAAAAATAAGTAATTGTAAGGGTAACTAGTTAGGATAAATATTAGAATTTTTTAAATTTGAATTATATCTTTGTTCAATTCAACTGTTTTTAGATTGTGATGCATTATCCTATATTTTAGTAATTTTATATTATCATAATTTATCTTTGTTTTTAAATTAATCAAAAGTGTAGATTTGTTTTTATTTATTTGAGGACAAACAAAAGTTTAAGCTATGGAGAATTTGATAAATATAAATTATGTACTATTTATTATATTTAAATTTCAGTGAAAATATGTGATTTTAGTTATTTTGTACAAAAAAAAAGTAATGAGAAATACAAAGGAATAGTTGGCATCGCGGTGCTAGAAGAAACACTGTTATTGTGCCCAATTCGACACCACTGAACTGCCAATTTCGAACATTATAGCGCCATCCTCTCTGTTTGCGAGTGTTGTTATGTTAGAAAGTCAGCTTGGTATCACCGAGTTCTTTGGAAAATAAATGCCACAACACCACATTTCAATGCCTCAGTGCCATTTTATTCACTCGGGTTTCATAGTGATTTAAATTCTAGAATGCCGCGACATTCCATTTATAACTTCCATGGGCTATGTTGTTGTAATGAAAAGATACATCTGTTCAATTGATAATCATTTCACATCATCAAGCACCGTGGCGTAGCAAACATTTTAGCGCCGATGCGCTAGTTCACTTTCAAGTGCCGCAATGTCATAGTTCAAGCTGTAGCGCCAAATACCCTTTTCAATGTTTTTTTATAAATACTTACTCTGTTCTGTTTATGAGAGAGTTCAATTACTTATGTAAAATTTAGTACTTTTTAGTATACTTATCTAGTTTCCTCTTAAAGTAAAATCTAATGGAGGTTGGAGAAGTGTATGATACAATCTATTAGAGTGTTTAGCCTACATTTGTTGAAGCAATTCTATAAGTGAATGAAGGAGTATATAGGAGATACTTTGAACATACGTGGTGATAAATTTCCACTACTATTCTTATACTTTTGATTCTTCTATGAATATAATAAAAATGAGTTTGCTTGTAATTTATTCTCTATATGGTTATATCTTTTATTTTGGATTGATAATGTAAAGATCATATTAAGTACAAATGAAGACTCTTATCCTATAAAGATTTAATGATGCTCTCAATTATCTCACATTCTATATTTAATGCACATAGTGGTCATATGTGTAGTTAAAACTCAGTGTGATGTATAGCCTCAATGGAGGAATGAAAGAACAATCAAGAATTTTGAGATAGAATATTTGCACTCATGAAAGAAGCCACAAACCCCAAATTAAATAAACAAATCGTTATTCTAACAGATATAAGCCCCACACTTAAACTATAACACCATAAAACCAAAGCAAATATCTAATCATCTAAGAGGAGGCAAATCATGAATGCTAATCAAATTCTCTGAATGTTATAACTAATGGTTTGTTGATGTAAGTAGACTGAGATTTATAATATTCTTGGGATGACAGACCCATGAGATATTGATATAATCTACCTCTAGCCCCCACAAATGAGACTACTAAACTTATAATTCAAAAGTTATGTTAAAATCACTCATCCTTAATTGAGAGTGATATCCCAAGAAGTACGAGGGGTATTTAACTATGCGCACTTTCACTCATAAGAAGTAAGGACTCTAGACTTAAATAAAACTCGATATGAACATCAGGAAAATTTTGGTAAATTTAAAATCAATTTATCTTAAGAAAAAAGAATCCTAAGTCTAGAAGGCGGGATTCGAGCTTGAGAGCAATTTTTCTTGAGCAAACACTACCAAGGGAAAGGGAAGGGTCCACAAGAACCACTTTGACTATGACTAATACCCCAGCAAGATGCACACTCTCAAAGCCACTCGTCGCCACCTCGAATGGATTGTCATCAATGAAATTCATCATCCAAGCTAAAGGTAATTAACTTTCTAAGTGAATTTAAACTTTTAACACATTCTAAATAAACCATTAAGCTAGTGATATATGTTCACTTAAATTTCTTAATCTCTTTTTATACTCATCATGGGTTCTCGGATTCTAGCTTTTTTGGCATAAGTGTTAGTAAGGTTAGCATCCTGAGACCTATTTGAATCCAACAAATGTAAGTTTAGTTTGTTTGGAAATAAAAGCTTGCTTTGTTTAAGTTAAGCTATCTTTCAAATTTTCTTCAAGATTTTTGGTATCAGACCTTTTGGATTAATTCAAATATATATGATCGAAAATTCATATTTATGTTAAAACCTTCAAGTAAACTAGACTATACAATATCTAAGTGTTTGTTGAAATAAAATATAGACCATTTATATTTTAAATTTATTATATTATCATGTTTTTCTATGTATTATATGGAGTTATTTTTGTAGAGTAATTTAAAAAAAAATTACAAACGAAGCCAATTTATCAACGGATTGCGTGTTCAGAATTGTTTTCCTAAAACATAAAGTAATGACGTGGTTAGATAAAAATTTCCATATAAATTTGCCACGTCATCCAAAAATATCGTATCATTAAATATTATTCATTTTAAAGTAAAAAAACAAGAAGCAAACCTACCAAGTAATACCTGCATCTAAAAATATCCGCAGCACTAATCAGATAAAAATATATTTATATATTTTATTCTATAAAGGATAAAATACTTGAAGCACTTGGTCTCCACCTGGAGAGGTTTTTTAAAGCAACGTTGCACATGGAATGGGACCCATGACAGCGCGAATCACTCTCAAATGATGCCACGTCGCCTGGTCGCTTTCTCGCTCTCAACCTCCGGTGCTAGACCGACCATGTATCGCTTGGTCTACATGGCGCATTCCGTAATTATCTTCAAACCTCTGCTGTACTTCCGTTTTCCACCCTCGCAGACAAATGGCGACTTAGCGTCTGCCGCCTGCTTGCCTTCCGTTCTGGTGATCTTCGGCGATTGGAGGGTTTTTCTCTTCTCTTCCATCGCTGATTTTCGTCCTGATCGTTTTCTTATCACTTGGAGATTTCACTTACCTTTTTAAAATTTGCATATTTTTCTCGGATTCTCCGTTTTGGCTGAGGTCTATCGTTTTCCTCGCTCGAGATGGCCAGCATTTCCTTTTTGCTTGAAATATCCCCTTTCATTTTTCACAAAATTGGCTTCTGAGGTCCGCTGTGGTTCTGTGCGAGACGGCGATGGAGGGCGGTGACGAGAAGGAGAGAGCACCGACCGTTGGGATTGAGCCGACAGCAACCATCGTTATTGAGGTGATCTCTGATGACACTTTTTGCTCCGCTCTTGATCCATTGGAGGATACCGGAAGAGAGAAGGTGAAAGAAAATACCATGGCGGTTGATCTGGAGAGTGGCGGTGAGTGTTCGGAGATGGAGGGTGAGAAAATTTGCCGGATCTGTCATTTGAGCTCGGAGCTGGTTGGATCGGTGGAGGAAGGTTGGGAGCTGATCGAAATCGGATGTGGATGCAAGGAAGAACTTGGGATCGCGCACCGACGCTGTGCTGAGGCTTGGTTTAGGGTGAAGGGAAACAGGTAATTTATAAATTAAGTGTCTTTAATTGTTTCTACTCTACAGAATTGGCATTTACATTGGAGTGTTTTTGTTGCGGTTCCTCTCTTGTGCTGTTCTTAGATATATTTTTTTATCATGATCTTTTTCCCACGTCTGTCATAGTTCGACAATGTTATTGGTTGTGGGGTCTCTTACATGTCCTTAGCGACCGATCAGCGTAAAACCCTTCTTTCTGCATCTTTTCGACCCTTTGAACTTTCCATGTGACTTTTGTCCCGCAAAATTTCTACAGTTTTTACTTTCTTTCAAGTCTTAAAAGAAAACTAGAAAACAATCAGTTTGCAATTTTTTGGGTTGGAGAGATAAATATTTTTTTATATAAATTATTGAAAACATTACTATTTCTTTGAAAATTGGTAAGTCCTTTGACTTATTTAAATACTTACACACTTGAACAATATAATATTGCCGTAGATGCAATTTGTGCAAAAAACTGGTTTTTTTTTTGCTTTCTTTTGGTTATTTTCTTAAGCAATGGAAAATGTTCAGTCAATCATGCTTCATACTCAACGGTTCTTTTCACCATCTTGATTCAATTATAAAATTTTCTAGTTTTTATTTGTAATATCACCCAAAGGAGTTAAATCCGCAATGGTACCTAACCCATTGTGTTCTTGTCTTCTTGAAAGCAATCTATCTTCTCCCATAATAATATTCAATTTTTTGCATCCTGTTATTGTTGAATGCAACATAAACTCTAATTATACTTTTTATTTGGATTTAGTGATTTTCAATGATTTGATGTATTTTATCTTAATGTTGTTAAGAAACTTTTGTTGTTGGAGTATTATTAAAAAATTAAGTGTTTATGAACAGTTTTAGATTTTGTTAGTTTACTATTCCAATGTACACAATCAGTTGCACTTTTTAGTGAGCAAATCAGTGCTCCATTAAGGATGGACAAAGACGGCGTTCAACTGTAATTAAATGGTTATTTATGTTATTTGTTCAATTAAAGTTACTCTTTTTTTTTGCTTTTAGTTTATCCAATAATTATATATGTTCTTGCTCTTGTTATGATTGTAGATTATTGAACATTGAAGTAGTCAACTATTGACTATCAACTTAGACCTCACTCGAAAAACTTTATAATGGGTCTAAGTTGATAGTCAAAGTAGGTTATATAGCATTTCTCACAAGAATTGCGAGTAGGAGTGATGTAGGACGGATGAAGTGGGGGCAATTTGAAAATTGAAATTAAAATAAAATGAGGAAAGAGGGGGGGGGGGGGGGGGGGGGTGGTTAATTAAATCCCATAATTGGATATCCAATTAAGGAATTAAATAACTAAGGGGGGAGGGTTTGACGACATTAAGAGGGACTTGGGAGTTTATGAAGAGAGATTTAAATGCTTGCCAAGTGGGGAACCTTAAATTATGGAGGAATTATTTAAATCAAATCCTATTTGAATTTGAAATAGGTTTGATTTGAATACTTTCCTAAAATAAGATTACTAAATTTGTGAAAGGATTTGAAATTTAAATATACTTGAATTTAAATTCAAATGTTTTCCATATTAAAACACATCCACAATAGGAAAGAAGACTATCAAGCAAGATTGACTCCAATCAAGAGCAAAATGGGAAGGGGCGGCGGGTAGAGAGAGAAGGGGCCGGTTATGGGAGAAAAGGAAAAGAAAATTAATCAATTCTTCAATTAAGGGAGAAATGATTTAATGAAATACAATTCCAAATTGATTGGAATTTGATTTGAAGAACTTTCCAAAAGTAGATTTAGTAATTTAGGAAAGGTTTTAAATCTCAAACTAATTGGATTTGAATTCAATTTTTTTTTCAAATTATCTTCAACCTAATTTAGGAAAACGAAGGGGAATGAAGGAGGGAAGAGGCTAGGGGTGAGGTGGTTGGCCGGCTATGGAGGTGGAGGGGTTTATGGCCGACGGTTGATATGGATAAAGTGGAGGAGGCTTGTGGCATTGGAGGGGTTTGTGGGAGAATCGGCCGATGGCAAGTGGGCAATTTTGGCCGGCGGTCAAGTGAGGAGAAGAAAAGGTTTTAGGGAAAGAAAGATACAATCGTCAGCCCGGACACATCCTGTGACTGACGGGTAATACGATGCCCTTCTCCAAGGGACTTCAAGCTACGAGCCTGGACCCATCCTGTGGCTGGTGGAAGCTCCGATTCCATCCCATAGAAATCTCACCCAAGTTCTCTCCAAAGAACAAAGGTACAAACCTTTTTTTATTAATAATCCATCATGCTAATATAAAGAGCAAGGACCTCTATACATAGGCCTCAAAAAAGCAAAATAAATTTAAAAAGACAACTTTGCCCTTTGGGCTTACATAAGACAAGACTCTTAAATAAGGGTAAAAATGTGAAATGCAAAATTAAATCAAAATACAATAAACTAAGATAAAAAAGGAGTGATCTCGGTTGTTGATCATCGTCTCTTCCAGTGATCTCGGTTGTTGATCATCGTCTCTTCCATTGAGGATTCAACAATAGAGTTGAGACTATAAAGGCTCGATTCACGTAGTGAGATTCAATCTTGTTTTAGGCCTACAATGCAGTGTGGTTACTGGCAGAGGAAAGTGTTTAGAGTTGGTAACATGTTGCAATTTGTCATCGGGAAATAAGGCAAAATCCCAAGCAAAACTTTGAGTATGAAGCTTCTTATATTAAAAAAGTTGTTAAATAGGTTCAATGCTTAAAATTAGTGAAAAATCCTCGGGTGAATTACTTGAAGCTCTTAAATCAACAATTATTTGAAACAATTGAGGAGGCAACACATAGGAAAACTTACTTATAATTTAACATGTGCCTTATTAATATTTGTGATGGTGTATACTAGACAATATGTAGCTCATATGATAGGGGCTATGAGCAAATATACGTCAAATTGAAGGAAGATGCATTGGGACGTGGTTAAGTGGATTTTATGCTACATGGAAGGTATAGTTTTATTTACATTTGATGAAAGGCGACTTGAGATTATAAGGATTTCTTAATGTTGATTTGAGCGGCAATTGGAATGTTCAACATAGTACAAAATAAGATATGTTTATACCTTGGGTGGTAGTGTACTATCATTAGTATGTGACAATTATTGAAACTAGTAAAAAGATGAACATGCTTAAGAGTTTGTACAAATTGGAAACTGTGCATAATGACAATTTTCTTTTTAGTGATAGTTGATACACATTGCTAAGAAAGCCACATTTCATTTAAGACGAAACACATTCAAATAAAGTACCACTTGATTTGAGGATTATTGGAAGAAGAATAGTTTCAAAACCCAACTGACATGCTTGAAAAAACAGGCATCTCCAACAAACTGAGGTTTTACAAAACTTAGTTATTTTTTGTAGTTGATTGAGATGAAGTTTCGCATATAGGTTATCCAATCTGTAAGTGGTAGATCATTTTGATAGGTTAGTTTTTTGAAATCTTGGAATTTTCCCACAAATCATTTGAGTTAAAATTTTTGTTTTATCCAATCACGGTGCTTAATTTTCTTCTAGAAATATGTGAAATGCTTAACAAATATAAATTTGAAGTGGCAAAATTTATCAAATATATTAGTTGTTGATATCTGCTACTATCCTGTTATTCTAGCTCTGATTTCTATAAATATGAAATTCATCACAAACCTACGATCAAGGTATCTAGACAAAAAGCTTTCTCAATAGCTACAGTGTGCTCTCAATTGCTTCTTCATTAGCACTAGTTATTCATTGACGACATTCAGATCAACGATTTGTGTAAGGTCAATTACAAGTTCTACGAGAGTTGTGTGCTGAATTTTGTGGTTAGGGGTATAAATAAACTACACATAAACAAGTGAAGTTCTATTGTAGCTCAATTCGCTCATTTTCCTCTATTCATGTCTGTTGCACTAGGGAAACTTGATAATAGATGAAAATTAGAAGAAATCAAACAAGATATAATGGATCTTAAATTCCAAAGGAAGATCATGCCTCCCAACCTCTAGCCGACGGCTAAAGCCCAAAACACCTAAGAAAAAATTCAAAAACAACAAAACATCATATGACCCTAACCCTAACCCTAACCCTAACCTTAACCCTTGCCCTCTTATTTAAAGAATACAAATAAAAGCTTAATTACTAAGCAACCATTCCTAGATTAATTTTCCTCCTAAACCACCCCCTCTAATTTGAATTTGCCATCCAAGAATGGGCCCCATAAGGGGGTCGACGTCTCCTCTAGTCCACTCGGAATAAACTAGGTAAAAGAATATTGTCAATAACATTATTTGTTGATTATTTTTGTTGCTATTGTGGAATGTTAGGTAAATGCTTTTGACTGCATTTCGATCATTTTCTTCATCATATTTTTCAAGTTTTCAAGGCGTCTTTCTATGGATGAGAGCCTTCCTTCCATGTATGACAGTCTTCCTTCGATGGTTGAGAACTACTCCACTAGCTGGGATTTGATTTGCTCCACTTTGCCTTCCAACATATTCGCAATCTTTGCCGCCATAGGTCCCAAAAATGCTCTAATGCCAATTTAATACGATTTGAAAGTGAAAACGACATAATAAATAAAAAGTGCGAGAACACAAAGATTAGGGCTTATGTTTTTGTTAATACTTTAATAATAATGAAAGGTACAAATGCTCTACTATTCTAGAGGTAGATTGTCTCTTCTAATAAACTTAGACATGGCTAGGAAGCCCTCAAGAAGAAAACTACATGAAACAAGCAAAGCACATATAACCCTCATAATAAAATAATTAGCCATAAATTTACTCTTTCTATTGCCCTCCCAAACATCTTTACTGTCTTAATTAATTATTTACTTATTTTGAATTCAAATTGTAGTTAAAAAATTAGTTAATTCCCTTATTTCCTTAACTAATTTCCCTCTCTTATTTCAATTCAAAATTAGAATTGTTTCATGCAATTCTAATTAAAATTTTCCTAAATAACCCCCTTAATTCCTCCTTTCATAATGATCTATAGCTTTGCTAGGTCCCA